TTGTTGTGAGAACTGCACATTTCATCAGTAATTTTAATCAAGTTAACCGTCGATTCACTGTAGTAATTTTATAAAACAATTATTTTCGCTGTATATTTTCGCGAATTTGCGATCAAACTCTGTTCGCATTTATTGTTGTTTTCAATAGCGTGGAGTAGTGATTCTCCGATTGGTTAATTGACGATTGTTGTGAGAACTGCACATTTCATCAGTAATTTTAATCAAGTTAACCGTCGATTCACTGTAGTAATTTTATAAAACAATTACCGTAGTTTCCGAAAGTCTCGCAACATCGCGCGTGCATGGATCACGCAATCCTGCGGAAAGCCATTCGGTATTCCTTTAATAGCATTGGTTAGTTGCTATAAGTCGAGTACATTGAATATTAGCAAACACACAAGTCTTTTAATTCATACGTTAATTCACTCTCTTTTATAAGAAAATATTAATAACATATATTACAGTTAAGTATCACATATATTTGTAAAAAGTTACCTTGTCATCATATCATTTTATATTTTTCGATAAATTCCATGTTTTAGAATCTGCTCCTTTACGATTAACTGCATTGTTACAAGAAATCATTGTATAATGTAGAGTAGGATGACTAAACCCGATGAACAAATTTAAGTGTGTGAAAATTTGATGTACTGTGAGACGTAAATAATACTAAATATAAATTACAAAATTTTGAATTGTCGGCAAAGTAATCGTAATTTGCCGGAATATAACCGTCGGGCATTCGGAAAAAAATGGAATAAAAATGCTTTGCGAGGGAGGTTGGTTTATTGCAAGTTCTAAGGAAAGTCCGAACCGTTTTATATGCTTACACACATGCATGTATATCATTCATGTTGTTTCAACCGTATAGAAAACATAAAATCGGAATTCATACGAAGACAAGGTTGGGGCATTCTGAGCTCAACGTGCTTGTTCTTAGATATAAACGAAGGATTGAATCGTATACTATAATTCTTAATAGATTCTTATTCGATCTAGATTAAACAAATATAACAAATACATATTACAATACTATCGCTAAATTACATTACATATATAAATAAAATAAACTTACTTCTGTGAGGCTTCCCACGTTTACATCTTGGCGTAAATTCTTATTTTATCTGGTTAGCAATACTGGTTAGCTTGTTTCAACTTATAAACACTGACTGGTTAGCGGGAAAACTTTGTTCAGTTCTGCTCTGTTCTGTTCGGAATACTAATGTAGACAAATGTCAATCAAACTATATTGTTTACTTTAAATGTAAGTTGCAGTTAATATTAACTAATTATATTAAGTCTGTCCCCTCAGCGGAGCATTCTCCCCCCAATAAGATACTTATCTTCATTCGTCATATCCTTCTGCAGGCTGGATAACCACAATCTTCGTAATTGGTCTTGAATACTCTCCTGAAGGTGTTCTTACTTTCACGTTTCTAACATTCCCATCTGGTCCGGGATAAACTTCGGTTATTCTTCCAATGATCCACTTTCCTCTAACTGCATTGTTATCTGATACGATCACAAAGTCATCGATTTTCACGTTGCGTTTCACTACGTTCCACTTTTTCCGCGGTAGAAGTAACGGAAATACATCTCTTTTCCAACGATTCCAAAAGGAATTAACAATCTTCTGCACGAATTCGACTCGCCGTCTGGGGTTTTTGGTTTCTTCAAATGGCCCTTGAGGTACACGAGGTGATGCTCTTCCTAGAAGCATATCATTTGGGCAAAGGTAAGATCCGTCGTCCGGATCATTTGGGACACGACCGATGGGGCGTTGATTTACAAGGTTCGCCACTTCGAGGATACACGTATACAGTTGAAAGGGTGAGAGAGTGTGATCACCAATCGCCGTTTTCAAAGCTCGTTTGCAACTTTTGACTAGGGCTTCCGCGCAACCATTCTGGTGTGGTGCGCCTGGAGTTGTGAACTTCCATTGAATTCCTTTGTCTGCGCAGTAATCATAAAGCTCTTTCTTGTCCCAGCCGTTGATCATCTTACGTAGCTCCGTCACTGCACCGACCAGGTTTGTGCCGTTGTCACTCAGAATCATGGCAGGATAACCTCTAAGGGAAAAGAATCTTCGTAAAGTCTGAATAAATTCCATGGCAGAACAGTCCGTAGCTATCTCAAGGTGAACGGCACGTGTATTAAGGCAGGTAAAGATGACGCCGTAATGCTTCGCTGTTTTGTTTCGTCCAACTTTAACGGTGATTGGTCCAAAATAATCACACGATGTGTAGTGGATTGGTGGTGATTGTGGGGTTAAGCGATGATGTGGTAAGTTAGCCATGAATTGGGTTTCAGATTTAGGTTCCAATGATCTACAAACAACACACTTGAATTTGACAGCTTTGGCGATGTCGTGAACTCGTATTATCCAATACATACGTCTTGTCTTAGCGGCTGTTGTTGCAATCCCCGAATGTCCACATCGGTGGGCTTCTTCTGTAATAAGACGAGATACTCTGTGGCTATACGGTAATAGTACAGGATGCTTTGTTTAATAAGAAACGACTGCGTTATCTACACGTCCTCCGACTCGTATAATACCGTCAGCATCAACGAATGGAGTCAGCATCTTGAAATCGTTTTTCTTTACTCTTTCTTTCAAACTCGTTTGGGCGTGCTTGATCCAATAAATGCGACTTTGTTCGAGCTCCTCTGGCGTCAAGGGTCCTTGGTTGGCTTCGCACGCTTTGTTATCAGGCTTTATTTTCGCTTTCAGGTTATTCTTTAACCGTAATACCCATGCAGTGACTCTGATTAACTTCTTCCATGTCGAATATACATTGCAATCTATAACACTCTCTTTCGCTGTCGTTACTGCTGCGGGTGCCACCGTTTGTTTCTTCCTAACTTCTTTCTCAACTTCTTTGACATCCGGTTTGAAATCTTCTTGTGGCCATTCCTCCGTAGGTTTGCGTAGGAAGTCTGGTCCTTCTTTCCATCTGCCCGATAATTCACCGACCGTTATTCCACGGGAAACGTCGTCAGCAACGTTGTTCTCACTAGGAATATGTCTCCATTGACAGGATTGTACATTGCTCTGAATCTCTCCGACTCTGCTTGATACGAATGGCTTAAAACGTCTTCCTTTGCTACGAATCCATGCTAACGTAATCGTACTGTCCGTGAATAGGATAATTTTTTTGAACTGCATTCGCGTTTCTTCTTGTATGGTTTTGCATAACCTACTAGCCAGTACCGCTGCTTGAAGTTCTAGTCTCGGAATACTTAACTCCTTCAGTGGAGCGACTCGTGACTTGGCTGCTACGAATTTTACTGCGACTAAACCGCTCACATCCACGCTTCTTATATATGCACAAGTTCTAAATGCACCTCGGGATGCATCCGCAAAGACACAAAGAATTGGAAGCTCAACTGGGATGAACGGGCATATACATCTTTCCAAAACTGCGTCGTTCAACTTCTTCATTTCCTCGAAAAATGACAACCATTGTTCCTGAGATTCAGGTGAGAGTTCATCGTCCCAATTGATACCCTTTTGCCACAATTCCTGGATCCCAATCTTTGCTCTGATAAGGAAAGCTGATGCAAATCCTATCGGATCGTAGATACGCGCTATTTGACTAAGAATACTTCGTTTTGTTATCTTTACTGGTTGGGACTTCAGGATATCAGGTATAACTTTGTATTTCAACACGTCATCACTGTTGTTCCTCACGACACCGAGTACTTTCTCCTCTGATGTTCCTTGAAGAACCTTGATTTGTTCCATTTCTTGCGTTGCGTTGTTTTTGTTTAGATCTTCGTTAGATCGCCATTCCTTCACCTTGTAACCGCCGTTTGCAAGTATGTCATCGTTTGCGCGTGAAAGCTCCTCCGCTTCTTTTACAGTGTTGACCGAATCTAATATGTCGTCCATATACGTATTGTCTTTCACCGTTTGCGCTGCTCTACGATTTATAGCTTCACCTTTTACAGCCGTCTTCTTTAACGCTATTTGGGCCATAGCTGGCGCAAGTTTATCACCGAAAGTTATCACATTCATAACATATGTGTCAGGTGGTCTGTTTGTCTCCATGTTCCTCCATAGAAATCTGTGGACGTGCTGATCTTCGAGTGGAATTAGCACCCTATGGTACATCTTTGAGATATCTGCATTCAACGCCACCTTGTTTTCTCTGAATCGTAGGATGACTTCGAATAAGTTGTTAAGTAAATCTGGACCTTTGAACCAATAATCGTTGAGGCAATGACCTTGGTACACAGAGGACGAGTTGAAAACTATCCTGATGGGCGTACTTTTGCTTTGAGACTTAACTACCGAGTGGTGGGCGATGTAATGAACAGGACCGTTATAATCATGTATTTCCTTTTCTTCAAGTTTTCTTGCAAAGTTCAGATCGTTCATCTCCATTATCTGCGTATCGTACGCTTTTGCGTGTTCGGGATTCCTTTCGAGTCTGCTTTCCGTTGCTTCGAGTTTTTCATCGCCTGTTGTCTGTTATCAGGTAGGCCCTTCGGATCTTTCTCCCAAGGATATGACACCATCCACTGGTCACCTACTTTCTTGCATGAATCTTCGATAATCCTTGTCTCTTCTATCTCGGTCGGGCTAAGTTTGCTCGCAGTGCATTGACACGACTCTACTGTCACTCCCATTGATTCCGTCGTCCAGAATTCTGATAAGTCCAGAGGGACTGTGTATTTGACATGAAATATCTGGCTGGCTCGCAGTGTTTCTCCTGGTTTAGCTCCGAATATAACCCATCCTAAAGGTGAGCTTCTTGCTACTAAATCTCCGACTTGTTTAGTTTCTCCGGTGTGCATGCTCGGATGATCAATACCGATTAAAATGTCAACGGGTCCTTTACCACGGTGAATCTTAGCTTTCAATCCCAACTGTTTTGCAATCTCCTTTGTCTTGATTCCAGCGATGTCATCACTGATGGTAGGGATACCGACTGCTTTTACAACAAATCTCTTGTTGCTATCTGGTGGGCTGACTTGAAATTTGTAGACCTACGTACTGATTTCTTCCTCTTCGCCTCCAACTTTCGTCAACGTAATCGAAATGTTATCTCCTTGTAGTCCAAGGGTTTCTGCTGTTTCCTGACGTATAAGACTTAATTGTGCTCCCGAGTCCAATAATACGTTGCCACGCTTGTACAGGTTGTTTTCTCCATCAATATTTACTGAAATGACTGGAAGTAAGGCTTCTTGGTCCGCCGTAACTGAAGTAACAACTGCTCTTTGGCTACCGTTTCGGTGGAGGAGGGGTGATGAAAATGCACACACTGGACACCATTTTCCTTTTCCGTACATTGCTTTCGTCAAGAACAGTTCGACATCCGGTGGTTTCTACCGGCTCTCTTTAAACAGCTATAACAGGCGTGGTGTTCTCTTGCGCATTGTAGGCGTTGGTCATGATTTAAGGACGAAAACTTCGCACATTGGTCCACCCAATGGGATGACGTTTTACAAAGCCAACATCGGTGGTTTGAGAATTGGTCTTCGCCTCCCTGGAATTGCTTTAAATGATTGATTGAATGTTTGCTACTTGTTCTCAATGGTGCAGACGCTCTCATTCTGGACTTCATCTCGATATTCATCCATGTCATTAAGCCATGTAACGATTCTGTTTTCTTGTCTTTCTCGAGATCACGTGACCAAACTTTTCTATCGTCAGCACACATCTTTTTTTCAATGATCGATAACATGTGGCTGTTATCCATATCATTTGGCAAACCAACTTCCTTTAACGTGTTATAACTTCTCTTTACCAAGTGTACAAGTTCACAAAATCGGGCATCTTCGTCACTATTTAATGCTCTAAACTTGACTATATCTTGCATTACTGTATCTGATACTACTCTAGGATCACCGTAAATCGAGTCCAAGTATTCCCAAGCTGCGTCGTAATTTGTTCCGATGCCCTTAATTAGTTCGAGTGGTCTTCCGTTTAAACATGTTCGTAAAAGTGTTACAGCATCACGTTTAGAGTACCTTGGTTCAGTAGCGTGCTTAAAATCGGCTTTAAATATCGCGTACTCCCGTACATCTCCCGAAAATTTAGGTAATTTTGGTTTTTCCATCTTAAATCCGCACGCGCTGTTTTCAGTGGGTACCTCTCCCCCCGTCGCGACAGCTTGACTTCCGGTCCAGACATCACTTGAGACAGGCAAGGCGTTGTCTGGCAAAACTTGCTCTAAATTAACATTGTTGTTTTCATTTTGGTCGCTATTATTTTCGTTATGAGCGTCACTTGCACTCGCGCTTGGCTGACTGTTTGTTATATTTTCTTCGCTTACTTGTTTTGCAGCTTCATCTACATGTTTTTTGCCTTCTATCTCAAAATTCATAAAAGCTTCCTGACACTCGGCTAGCCAGGCTTCTTCCGTTTCGAATTCCGCATCGTCTTCGATTAATTTAGTAAGTTCTTTGTGTTTAGTTATCAATTTTTCATACGCTTCTTGTAGCTTAGTTAGCGATTGTTTAACCTCCTCTGCTGGTCGCTGTACGTGGAGTGTATGTCTTAATGTTTCCCCTGCTCTAGTTAACGTTGCTTTGGCATTTCTACGACCGATCTTAGCTTCTTTTAATAACTCTGACATTTTAGTAAACTGTTCGTTTCTCGCTCGTCGCGCCCTTTTAGCAGTTTAATAACACCATATAGAAATCGAATGATGGGGCATTCTGAGCTCAACGTGCTTGTTCTTAGATATAAACGAAGGATTGAATCGTATACTATAATTCTTAATAGATTCTTATTCGATCTAGATTAAACAAATATAACAAATACATATTACAATACTATCGCTAAATTACATTACATATATAAATAAAATAAACTTACTTCTGTGAGGCTTCCCACGTTTACATCTTGGCGTAAATACTTATTTTATCTGGTTAGCAATACTGGTTAGCTTGTTTCAACTTATAAACACTGACTGGTTAGCGGGAAAACTTTGTTCAGTTCAGCTCTGTTCTGTTCGGAATACTAATGTAGACAAATGTCAATCAAACTATATTGTTTACTTTAAATGTAAGTTGCAGTTAATATTAACTAATTATATTAAGTATGTCCCCTCAGCGGAGCACAAGGTAGTGTATACAATATATTTACACATTGTACTGGGGCGATTGCAATTTTTAATATCCCAACTGGAATTTGAAGTGAGAGGGCTGGGGGAAACAATAATAGGAACACCACAGAAAATTGACCTGTTTGGCTTTCCTATGATTTTAGTGTAATGGTCCTAGCCAGCAACAGCATCTTGTTGATTGACGAATCATGGCAGTTGATCGACCTTCTCATTGTCTCCTTTCTATGGGTGAGGCGTGAGGGGTATAATTACATGTAATAATTCCCATGGGGCTCACAAAAAGGTTTAATTTGTAATTGGAGGGTTCAGTTTAAAATTGCAATTGCCCATACTAAAGCATTTTTTAGAATTATTCATTTGAAACATCTCATTAACAAAACAAAGGTTTTACTACAGTACAATTAACAAATAATTTTATGCGTCAACTGTATCATTTGTTTCCACCACAACCTGGAGGGCGGGCAACCCTGGGGGATTTGATAACAATTCGAAGCATGAGAGACGGGCAATTGACAAACTCGTGTACTGGCCGGACATCTCGCATTGCAGCACGGTTCACGCTGCAGGAGAGTGGGGGCGATCGAACAACGTTATCTCAAAGTTTTTCAACCTCATGCTGGACATTTTTCGGAATAAGTCATTTCTGTTATCACAGTGAAATTTTTTGTAATCACAGTGCAATTTTCTGTAATCACAGTGCAAAAATCTGTAACAAATTGATCTGATTGGTGGAAAACATTGTGATGATTAAATCAACCAATCAGTTTAAAGCAATTTATTTTAAAGAAGTAACGGTCACAAATTGCTTCAAAACAAAACAAACATGGCGCCCCGCTGCATAAAGTAAAAGTTGCCTTCGCGTGGAAAATATGGCTTTTTTTAAATGGAAAAGCATTTACCTTAAACTAGACTAACAAAAATTACATAGTTGAGTGGAATTTTCAAGCTGTTAGCATTGTATATAATTTGATATAACAAAGCCAGGAAAACTTTGCCAGTGGAATGTTCGCTATAAACGTGTAAGTTAAAACTACAATTGTCTCCAACATTTTTATGTAAATTATTAATAAGTAATAGCATGGTTTCTCATGAAATTTGGATAAACATGCACTCGTGAGTTTTTCAAAGACCTCAAATAGCACTGGTTTTTCGGACTCGTGCTATTTTGAGGTCTTTGAAAAACTCACTTGTGCATGTTATATCCAAATTGCACTTGAAACCATGCTATTACCTATACAAACAAACCTTTCAGATGTGGAAGAGATATTCAAAAGTTTCTTTAAATATCCTTTACAACATGTTTTTATCATGTGTGACACAATATTTTTATTGTGCATGACTAAATCGAATTTGACAAAAAAAATAGGTCAAAATAAGTCAAATGCCTGTGGATTTGCCTGCCCTCCAGGGGGGTGGTGGTGGTGGAAACGAATGATAATTGTATTATATCAACAGAATAGTCATGTAGTAAAGTCTATATTTGACAACTTAACCAGCAAACTGTGGTTTAATAACAGGTTCAACAAATAAGTTAAATGGTCAACTGCAGTTATTAAAAATGACAGTCCTTTGCTGCCTTGACTGTTTTTGGGAGCACTTAACATGAATGTGCCCCTGTTCCCTGCATTTCCAGCAGACCACACCTATATGTGAAAATACATAATGTTATTAGTAGTATTGGGTCATTCCAGAAAAAATCCATACTCCCCCACCTAGGAAATTTCTACTGTCCGGAGGGGGATGGGAGACAAAATTGTTTCTGATAATAGTAAATGTATTACGACATCCGAAGGGGGTGGGAGTTAACTTCCAATTTTCTCCGTGGGGGAGGTATGGATGTTTTCTGGAATGACCCATTAGGACTTGTTTACAGAAGTTTCAAATCTTTCAGTCTATTCCCTTATAGCCCCTTATTTATACTCTTTAATCCTTGATTGAGCCTGCATAATTTTCAAACCTGAGAGAAAAAATTGATGAGAATAGTATCATATGACTTTTATAAATGTAATAGCTTTCGCACATACGTGATCTGCAGTGTCTTGCTACGTGCCCCCAAGCCCACATTTCCTACAGTAAATTCGAATAAAACACTAATCAGTTTTTTCAAATATAAATATATTAACACACTATTGCAATCTGGATGATGTTGCTCATCTACCGAAATGAAATAATAACTTAATTAGTTGAAAGTATACATGATGAAGATATAAATGTTTATCAAAAACCATACCATTGCCATCCTGTTGTTGCTGCTGGTACTCATTCACTGAAATGAAATCATACTTTAAAATTAGTATAAATTAGTACATTTTTTCACAATATGAAACCGGAACCACAGGTATTTTTTTTACGTCCAAATTTAAAAATAATATTTTTTCGGAAAATACTTACTGTCTCTAAATGCTAGCTGCGACTGCGAGACCCAAAATTAAATTTTCGCGCGCTTCGTATTTGAATGGAGTACCATGGACGTTGTGTGAGATTTTTTGGTAACCATAGTGATGCACACAATATTCACTTACAGTAGAGTGAAGTGTACACATGGAAATCTGCAATAGAAACTTACCTTCATATGAATTTACTTCAGTATCTAGAGTTTTAAAGATATAAAATATTATTTACAAAGTTTTAAATGTTATAGTAGGCTAGTAGCCTATATGTCATAATATTGTTACCGTACTGTACAGTATATGTCATGTCATTAGAGCCAACCTCAGAAACATAATACAGATATTATGTCTAGGTAACAGGCAATAACAAACTCCCTGAATGCCTTCCTCAAAAACACAATAATAGAGGCACAGATATTTATGGCATAATTTTGAACATGGTATGATTTGAAGCTTGTGTACTACGCCTCTAAAATTGTGCCTAGTAACAGGCGAAATAACCTCGAAAGCACACTATATGTGCCCAGTATACTGGTGCTCAAACACCACAACTATTGAATGACAACTCATGACCTGACAACTTGTACTATATGTTGGAACAGTTTTCTCTGCAAGCACTTTAAGTCGCTCTTCAGCTTTGAGTGATTTTTGCATATTTTTACTCCTACCAATTGCTTTCAGGCGATCAAATGTCATAGGTTCAAACACAATATCATGAATCGAGCTTACCCGCGATGTAGCTACAAATGTGCATCCAGCAACTTTTTCTCCTTTACCTAAATCAACAACAGCTTTTGTTAGTGTCTGTCATTGTGACTTATGAATAGTCATTGCATACCTTAACCGCAATGGCACTTGTTGCCTTGACAAGTACTTTCCATCAGCCATCCATTCAAACTCTTTGGGTGGCGCAGGTATACATTTAGAACATGTATCTAGGAATGCAGGACCGTAGTAACTATGGAAGTGTACCAATACTGCTATTGGCAGGTTTGGTGGACCCATATTCTCTGCAAACCAAATCTGCTCGATAGTGCCAAATGAGCCATTGCAAAGACAAACTGAGCCCACAGGTTGCAAGTGGGCATTACTTCTGCTTTTGTGGATAAAAACAGAACAGCGTCCAATCCACCAGCTTCGTTCGACGTGGCCGCACTGGCACCATGACCAGAGTGCTTTGCCTGAATTTTAGCAACCGGTTGTCCAAGCTGCAATAGCCTCTCATAATTGTATTCAACAACACTTTTCTGGTCAAAGTACAATAGGATGGCATCAGTGAATTTATCCATTGGTACACTTGTTTTTGAATGCTCCAACAATAGTTTCCAGTCCTCCTCTGTCACTTCTCCATTTCGCATTCTCATCAGCAAGGCTCTAAAAGCAACTGCCTCGGGGTCCTCACCAGCTTGACGCATAACTTGATCTAAAATAATGACAGACTCTAACATGGTCACTTACTATTTTTCCAATTACCTGAAACTTACATTGGCTTATCACCAACAGGTGGTAATTGACCAAAATCACCCATTAGAATTACTGACATACCACCAAAAGGGATATCTTCCTATCCAGTACTAGCAGTTTATGTCCAATAGCATTTTATGTCCAATCATTGACATTTCATCGATAATCAGAAATCTTTTACCTTCTTTAGCCTCAGCTGTAACCGCTGTAGTGGGTCACCCTGCAAATCCCTATATTCACGGATAGGAAGTTGAGCAGCAGAATGTAATGTTTGACCATTAATACTAAAGGCTGCAATGCCAGTAGTTGCTGTAACAACACACTGAGCGGCTAATACTTGTTTCGTTGCACTTATTAAGTATGTCTTACCTGTGCCGGCTGTTCCACACACAATCATATAAACTGGCTCAGCATTATCACCATTCTGAGGTGTGATGATGTTGTAAGAAAGGCGTTCTTTTTCATTAGGGTCTCCGGATCAATTACACATTGTTGATCATCTTCTCGAAATTGCTGACCATGTTCTTCAGCCTCCTTTCTCTGACTATAGATCCATCCCGGAGATTCCCTTAACAAATCTCTAGGCACGGCTCTTACCGTTTCAAACCAGTCCACTGCTTCATTGTCTGACATCCGATTACCTGTTTCACCATAATCTTGGTTAATTCTGCATAACAACATCCAATCATCGACTTCCTCCTCGTCATGAGGGTCAACTTCACTTTCGTCGTCATCATCTTGATTGTCACTTGGATCGTTTTCAAAGGTTAGACCACATTGAGCATCATGAACTCTGTCTGTTTCATCGGAATCCCTAAACACATTTTTTCCGCAAATTCATCTGTCATAAGAAAAACTTCATATACATTAATAAACATTTGATCACTTTCATCCTCGTTGTTCCAAGCATTTGACGGTTGACCCTCCCATGGTTTAAACTTTATTAGTTGATATTTGCAGTATTTTCCAAAATCAGGACCAGCAGGATTAGCGAAAATCTTTGGAAATGTCCTGACAATGTACGGATTCGCTCGTTTTGTCAACTCAACTCTGACTTTGGTGTACTGTGACACATATTGCATCAGATTTAGCTGAGACAAGCCTGTATACCTACTCTTCAATTTTGTACGTTCTGCATATTCTTGTAGCGCAGATTTTTGAAGTACCTCATCGCCTTCGTTTTCTGCATCAATATTAACCTTCCTGCTGTTATCTAAAGAAACAGTAACAAAACTAAATGTGCAGCCAACCAGTGGTAGACTAAGTAACATATGCGCAGTTTCTTGTACTGCCATATCTCTAACCCCAGCAACTTGGATCATTGCTTTCTTGAAGGCCGAAGAGACTTGATCATCGTTCTGTAATGTGGACACAGAGAATTTTAGTATTTCTGACGCCGATTTCGATCGGGGTTCTCCTTTTGCAGCATACTTGGCCATGTATCTTGCACAAGGCTTCTCATCTACAATGACTTGCAAATCTACATCTGCCCGCTAGTTTTCGAGCATCACCCTGTTATTGCGAATTTAATCTTTGATCATTTCGTTTGGTATGTAACTCAGGCTCAACAGACTTACTATTTTTACTTCCCACCAGCTCAAGACTCAGTTCTGTTTCTTGTTGTAATGGCTTTGGAAAATCAAATCTGCATTCTGCAAGCAGGTCCACTTTTTTTTTTCTTTCTACAGTATTAACTAACCTGTGATAATCATTATCACCATTATCCACTGCTGTAGCGCTAACAGCAGATGGACGAGGGTCTGGTATCCTCCAGTTTTCATCTGGCAATTCCTCATTAAAAGTTGTAACCAACCAGTCAACATACCTTTAAAATAATCACCACTTTAATTAATAAACATGTGCGCTTGTTCTGTTAGCCAAATATTACCTAATTAGTCATAAAACAGTTTTAATCACACCATTGACTGAGTGAAATATTTTCCTGTGAAACCTGTATGACCACAGTTAAATTTCCACTTTCTATTTATGTAATTTCTTACATTCCAATGAAATCTTCAGAAATTTAAAAATTATTGAAAATTCCTTTGAGTAAATTGAAACCTTTTAAGGAAATTTATAAGGAATTTTTGTTTACATGAAAAATATTGTTACTTTTTCAATTTTAATGTGGCAAAGTCAGTTTCGTAGGAAAGGTTCGAATAGACTAGACCTCTGTACAGGTGATGACGTCATTAGTTTACCATTCGAACGAAACCTAGCAGTGTTCACGGATCGTTAAGAGTCGAGAGTAATGGTCAAGATTGGTTGATGCTGGTTCTTTGACATCGATTGATTAAATTGTTCTGGAATATATTATCCTTTGGAAAACATACATAAATTTTTTGCTACATTTTGATATAAAATATATTAAACTATTAATAGCCTATATTGTAATAGTTTAAATTTAGATTGCACGCAGTTGTACTCGTATTGTAAACAACACTATATAAGGACCTACTGTATTAAGGAACTGAACGAAGATTTGTGCGAAAAATACATTCAATAATCGAATATATATCCATGCATTTGAAATTTATAGTTGGAATTATTAAGAAAAATGACGAGAGTTGAATTGTAATACATAGAAATAGAACAATGTCAATGCCTATCGTATTAATTTATAAAGATCATATTATCTAGTCTATTTACACACTATATATATACTCACTACTCACTAGAACTAGATCTATAAAATATATTATGTCTATATCACATACATACGCATTTTAATTAATACTGTGACTGTGTTGTGTCAACTATCATTGTAAAATTGCCTTCGTTTTTAAATTAAAGAAAAACGCTGCGATCTCAATAAAATTGTAGACTAATTTACAGGAGAAAAGAATACAATCAGGTCGACGAGTTATTAAACACTTCATTTTTATGAGAACATTTAAAATTGGTACACTATACTACCCAGTCAGGTCTCACTTATAATGAAATATAAAGCTATATCGGCTGTTTTTCCTGTGCTATAAAATTGAACAAAATATTTTCACAGTTTATGGAAATGAAACCTAAAGCTAATAACTCATTTCGGTGGTATTTAGGTTTTTAGGACGTGTTTGTAAATGCCGTGCAGGTGCGCCAGAGTCTGCCGCAAAAAGAAAATTATCAGAGGATGTGCGTCATTTACACTATGACTAATCTCTGCTAATTTTCGCAATGAACAACACACACTTTAAAGATGCTGCAAAGTCCAAATGTAAACAAATTGCTTTGTTTACATTTTGAACTGGTATATTTGTAAAATATATAATATATAACTGAATATCTGACACTTTTCTGGTTTGCTATGCTTGTAAATGAATATAAACTAGACGTTTCAATTTAAAAAAGTTCGAAAGATGCAAAATTTGAGCAATGTCTATGTCTGTGAGTTCCCCTTTGTTATGCACAAAACGGACTTTACAGCACCTTTAAATAATTTATAATTGATGGTTAGAAATACACACCTTCGCAATAAATTGAATTACGGTGCGTCGACAACATTATTTACTCAACTTTTACGAAGATCCATGATGACGATCCGCATTTGATCAAAATTCACAAGACTTGCAAAACTCGCACTAGTCGCATGACTCGCACGACTGGCATGGCTAGCAGACTCGCAGACTGGCAAAATAGCCGACCTGTTAGAAAAGGTGAATTAATCGCTTACTTAAGTTAACATTAAGTGTTTGTTACAGGCTGGGAATCGGGTCTTTTGAAAAGTAAATAATTGCTGGTCAAGCAGTTCTCCTGTTCGGCTACTATGTTTACAGGCAATAGTTAGGCTATAGTTGGAAACGTTCACATTATTTGATTTGCTTCACATTCAGTTTTATTAATGTTTTCCTGTAGTAGCTGTACACCATTGTTTCATGTACGTACAAGTGGTGCAGTAATTTATATGAGGAATACAAAGCTAATTACAAATAATTTTAAAGCTAGGTATCTCAACTAAAAAAACTAGTTATTATGATAATTAAACTTGTATCAGCAAATAGAAAGTGTTGAGTTGAACGAATGTGAACGGTGCAGTCGTTCAGTTAATGCGGCTTTCTTTCGATCTCGTGCTTCGGTGCAGGCTAACTCATATTTAATATCTATCACACAAGATAAAGTTGATAATTAATTGAGATGGTCATGGTACCCATCGTGGACTCTATAGGACCCATGGGTACTCTTATAATTTGTTGGTGAAAAGCAAGACGAAAATCTTCTCGAAACACAAGATTGAAGCAACTAAATTGTAATAACCGTTATAAAGCACAAGTACCCGTACTAAATAACATCCATGGAAGACCTTCATTTAATTGGGACAACACGCTATTCGAATCTGGTATAATATAGTTGATCTATTATATATTTCTTTCAAATTTTATAGGTTTTTTACTGTGTAAGAAAGACTGGACGTTATTCCAAGGAATGTGTTACATTGTGGGTAACAAAACATCTCACGACTATCTAACATGGCCGGAAGCTGAGAAAAAATGCCAACGTATTGGCAACAATGGACATCTCGTTAGCATCCATAGTCAAAGTCAACAGAACTTTATTCGGTCTCTTCAGAGGTAAGTTTGTTTTTGTTACCCACCTTCAAATCATTATATTCAAGCGCAATAACTTGTTGATCGCGATCGTTTCAACATGTAGGTATGGGTATTAGGATGGTTTCGAATCCAATTTGGATAAGACATGCGCGAGTGAGATTTTCAAAGAGCATCAAAATAGCATGAGTCCGAAGGACGAGTGCTTTTTAAGGTCTTTTAAAATCTCTCGGGCGCTTCTTTTATCCAAATTTCACGAGAAACCGTCCTATTACGTTCTAATAATATACATAAAAATGTTCGAGACAATTGTAGTTTTAACTTACGTTTATAGCGAACCGTCCACAGGCAAAGTTTTCCTGGCTTTGTTATATCACATTATACAACGGTAACAGCTTGAAAATTCCACTCAACTATGTAAGTTTCAAGACTGTCGGAAGCGGAGGGGCTGGAATGAATGAACGCCGGAATGAATGAATGGCTGGTGCATATATTATACACGTCCTAAAAGACCTTTATAAAAAGGTTGACGTCAGCAGTTAAACAATAACTTTAACTCTTTGTAGCTATAATCGTACAGCTATAACCAGTGGCGTAGCCAAACCTTGATTTTTCGGGGGGGGGGGGCGAACCTCACGCCGAAGGCGTGAGACCGTCTAGGAAGGTCTGGGGTCCGGAAAATTTTGAAATCTAGGGTCCCTGAATTGCGATATCATGCATTTTGGGGGTAAAATCTAGCAGAATTCCGAAGATTATAAAGTACATCGAAGACATGAATTTTTCCAGACATTTCTATTCGGAATTAAATAAATTGGAAAAGTCACCTTGAAAAATAGGAGGACGGGTCAGTGTCACCTTATTTTCTCACTGTGATTCTGGGGGGGGGGGGGAATCCCAATGTTGTGATTTTAAATGTTGCATTTAAATCATTTTAGGTTCTATGAGACTTGTTGCTTAGCTTTTTCATACGATACAGAATAAGTCTGAGAAGAAATATTCATGCTATGATGATGCATACATGTATTTAACAGTTAAAAATCTAAACTAAATCTATTCTTCTTGGAACCATATCTACAACTGCTTTAACGAGATTTTACATATCAAGTTCCTCCAGTATATCGTCTTTTTCCTCAGTCGAGACGTACTTAATCAGTTTCAGCTTCGAACATG